CTTGGCAATAGTAACTGTGAATATTGAAGATGAAAATGATACTCCTCCTCGATTCCTAAAAGATGCATATTACGCAGGTTAGTTTAAGATTTTATTCATTCTTTTTGACATGTGATCTTCACTGCCTCTTCACAAACACAATATATTACATAGCTTTGGGTTATCTAATTGGAAACCATTTCCTTCAGGGGTTAATTATGAAGCAGAAGTAGACCGATTTGTACGTATGGTGAGTGCAGTTGATGGAGATGCTGGACTAAATGGTACCCTCTCTTACTCCATTCGGGCTTCCAATCTCTTCAGACCAGGTAAGGGCATCAGTGTTTAATGATATTAGATTTTGAGTCATGTAATTGCTCAATTATTTAGCTAGAAATTATTAAATTAGTTCAATGTCAATCTGAAAACACTTCCAAATAGTATATTTAGGATATGGAATGTCACTTCATAATACAAATAGTAATAATGAATTCTCATCTACTTTGCAGGAGATATCAAATCTATTGGGTCCATCATTCCATCACCCTTCAATGTCACTCAAGATGGCAAGTTGACAACAGCATCACTGATGTCACAGTACAGACGCCACAGATTCCTCTTACAGATCCAGGCAAAGGAGGAAGCTCCCCCACACCGTATCGCCAAGTGCAACGTCAACGTAAGGGCCATTTGCATGGTTTCCATTCATTAAAGTGTTGCTTTCTTTTGTGATGATGTTAGACAAAATTTTTTGTATTTTGTTAATGCTGATTTTAATAACAAAATGACCTTCTTAAGCATTGCCTTTTACAAGAGAAAATGTTTGAGATAAATACAATTTGTAATTTAATTTCATGTTTATATTATATTTGTAAGCTTACACAAAATACAAATGCCATCAGATATGGGTGTGGGAGAGAGAAGACCTCGTGAGAGTTGTTCTTGCTCAGCCCCCTGAAGAGGTGGTGCGTCAACAAGAAGCCATTGCTAATACTCTATCTGAGGTGAGATTCTCCTTTGGAATTTTCTTCTTGTGTAAAGCTAGACAGTGTAAAACATAAGGAGCTTCTTATTTACAAATCAATACTGGATATATGATTAGTGAGATGAAAACATGTCTTAAAATGAATAAGATATCAATGCAACCTGGATTCTTTTTTTGTATGTTTTAATGTAAATTTGTATATTAAATTACTGCTACCTGTATATATATACCTGGTTTCACTGTCTCTGTATATAACATGTCTTTCACCTTTCTGCCCTTCGTCTAATGAATGAAATCCACAGGTTTGTGAAGGAACAGCTGTAGTTGATGAAATAAGGTATCACGTAGACTCCGACAACACTGTGAACAGACAGAGGTAATTACTGTAGACAGAGTATGCTATATGTTATTGACTTCTGGTAGCAAACTATCATAAATTTGTTGTATATTTTATCAGTTTTATGTTTTTTTTTTTTGGATATAACACCTAAACTCTGTTTCAGGACGGACATGTTAGTTCACGTCGTAAATCAGACAGACCAAGTGATGCCCATCCCTGTGGTCCTGCAACGCCTGGATCTCGGCTATTCAACGCTGAGGAACAGTTCAGAAACATTCTTTATCGAAAATGTGTTTGTAAGTATTCAATGATCTATATTTGACAAATAAAAATGATATCACACTTTTTTTGATGCTTGATTTATTCTTTTTTTTTTCTTACCATGTAAATTTGCATTCAAACATATATTAATTAACATGAATTATATGTGGGACTTGCTGATATACTATTACCCCCTTTGTAAATTATAGAAAAGGAGAAAAAAATATAATAATAAAATTGTAAAATGCAGTAAAATAAATATTCTCCCCAGCCTGCTACAGTGGAAGCCCAGAGGGATGAGGTGGATGCACGCTTAGCAGGCCTTATAGCACTTATGATCGTCCTCTTCATTGGCTTCATCTCTTTCATCGTTGTTTGTTGTTGCCTCAGATACTGGTAAGATTTTGTTTCATAGACGTTGTTTTATTTGATTTACATTCCTGAAAATGGAAATTACTCAAAGTCTGGAATTTCTGATCAGATTTATATTACCAAATGTTAATGAGTTACAGTAAGTCATAAATGAGAAAGCAAAGAATGTTTGATACATTTATCTTTTCCTCCTAAGCAGAGAACTCTCATTAAAGTCTCTATTGCTGTTTATTTCTCAGGGTAATGACTCCATCAAGCAGATCGACAGAGCATTTGATCAAGCGTAATATTGATGAGGATTTGGGCCTAAACACTACAGAAAATCCATTGTGGGTTGACCAGTAAGTATTTATCCCTACTTCAGTATGCTTAAATAATTGTAATTTTAAAGCCAAGATTATGGCGTTCATAGTAAGTCACTTCATGAAAGCAAATATCTTCTTGATATAAAGTTGAATGGTTCCTATTCAAATAACTGTCAACCCTTCTAAATTATATACGTACATTTTTTTCTTGCAGGAAATTGAAAATGTATGAAGAACAGGAGCTAACAATGCAAGTAATGAGTGAGTTTGACACTACGCAAGTGAACGGTGCTCCTCCTCCAGGCCAGGGTCCAAGTGTCACTGTTGATGCAGAATGGACACCTGACAGAAGATCTAGTATAGACTTATCACAGGTCTGTCCTGCAAATTCCTCGGTGTTTTTCACATGAAGAGATTATCCATAGATATCCACAAATTACATTACATATTTGTACAACAGAAAATGAACTTTCTGCCTAACTAGTAATTTTTTTTATATAGTGTGCCAATACATTATATAATAGTATCATGTCAATTTTCAGGTTTAATATAAGGTATCAAGGTTAATATAAGGATTTAACATTTACCATATACCAATAATTGCATTCCTTTATGCTAAAATTCTTTTGCAATACTTTCCAGCTGGATGCACAGAGTAATACATATGCTACAATCCAAAAGTCCCATGGAGGTACACTGCGATCATTGCAACTGAGAGGACTGCAGCAAGGGACACTAACTCTTGGAGAAGATCCTGGGGAGAGCAATGATTATGCGACCCTTGATCATCTAAGACGTCCGCCCTCAGCCCAGGGTCCTCGAGTCCCCGGTGTGGAAACTCCTAGATCACCTCTGCATCAGGTGCTGTATATGGCTTGACCTCACCTGTTTGTTTCAGCATGTTATAAAATGGTTCATGCTTTATTTTTGGAAAAATTCAATATTCATGTTTTTATATTTTTATAATCCTAAATATTCTTACTTATTCTGCCCATTCAAATATAAATAAACTCATGTCCTCTTTTTTTCCCATACCATCAGAATGGTGAGTACCACGAGCTACGAACATCCTTCACTGGGTCGACCTTCCAGCCTCCTGACATAGCCAATCGCCCTCTGCCAGAAGAACCAAATGGCTCAGTGCATAATGCTACCCACAGCCTTGCTCTGAATGCCCAGGGAGAACCAGTCCTTGTTGCAGAACTTATTTAACAATACTTATAGATACAGGTTATCTTCACTGTGCAATGAAAATATACAAGAAATTTGTTTTTTGTATTAAATGAAACATCTATATATGTATAAATACATACATACATACATACTATATATATATATATATATATATATATATATATATATATATATATATATATATATATATATATATATATATATTATTACTAAAAATGCAGTTAAGGTGCAGATTTTGTTCTTTAGATATCAAGAATCTAGTGAAGTAAAAATAATAAGGTTGTATTTTGAAAAACTGTTTGAGAAAATTGATATTATTTACTGTTTATATCCAGATACATATAAACATATATGTGTATGTATATATATATATATATATATATATATATATATATATATATATATATATATATATATATATATATATATATATAATATATATAAATAACAGCAGAATTCAGCTTTTAAATATTTTCTGAATTACTCCTCATTAGCTGAATTAATATAGGTATTCATGAAAATTTGAGATAATGAACATTTTTATTTTCTTTTTTTCTGTTACTTGTGAATATGGATGTTGTTTTGACGTGATATTGAACTGCAGTTGTAGTTACAGTCTCTTTAAATTAGTTACTGTAGACTGATTAACAACAGAATATCATATTATTTTGTAAATTCTCAAAGAAGCAACCTATCTACAGAAAGTGGCTATCATTCTTTGAAGAAAAACATGTAAAATACATCACTCATTTCAAAGATCCAATGTCTAGATTTTTAGTACAAAGACACCAAAACGAAGCACTCAAACCTCTTAAAATATCAGTTCATAATTCTTTTAACTACATTCTTTTTGAAGATTCTTATAAATAAAAATGTTTATTATAACATTCCACTTCTACTATCTGCCTCTCACATGATGTCATCAGACGAATTACTGTTACTCTGAACCAACTGCAAATACAATAAAAAATATAACCAATACCTTGAAGATGGTTATAATGCTCATGAAACCAAAAGGCTTTTGTGAGAGGCTTCCCTTTGTTAAGCTCCGGGGTTTCCAACATCAGCTTATTGCAGCATTGTGGTTTTCGTAACAGGTTTGTTAATACTTTCATATGTAAACGAGAGTTAAAATCAACTAGCTAGGTGCAGTCACGGGCTGTACTTAGGTATTCACACTGAATTCATCTTGTACATAGCATTCTCATTAATTTAACTATTAAGGTTAATATATTACTTTATTTGGGATACTTTGTGTCATGAGTATTGGAAAAAAAATATTTTTCATTAATTAATTTGGAGATCTGAACTTCAAAGTGTTTCCTTTACTTGGCTATTTAGTTGTAATTAACCAAACAGTATGAGGTTCTATGGTGGTTATTATCATTATATTATTATTCATGTGTTTTTCTTTTTATCAAATGTCAACTTCGGCAATGTATTAAAAAAGGTGTGTAATCATTACTCTGTAAATAAAACACTATTATACACATCAACAAGCAGGTAATCATAGTATACATTACCAAATGTATTATAGAACTATAGAATATTATTATATTCTTGAATATATGGTCAGTTTTCTTGACTCACAGATATATATTCCCATTTATTTTTCCTCCTCTATAACAGCCATGTAAACGTGCCTTATGTCTATTTGAATGTCTGTATATTAATTAGCTTAAGTTGTAATGTTGTGTAATTAACAATATGAAAGTTTAAAAACAATATAATTTTTTTGTTTCAATTATACCTGCCTAAAATATAGAAAACCTTTTCTATTGAAGTAACCTGACCTCCCATTTTGTTTATATTGCTCTTGAACATTTGAAAAAATTAGTCATATGAGAAGCTGTTATGATAACAAAATCAAAAGGTAAAAAAAGGAGCAGTATTGCAGGGTTGCTATTATGCCTAAGCACACGAGGACCCATGGAAGTCTCCAAAATATGAGCTTCAGTAATTTTGCAAGTTTTACAATCTATAGAAACTTTCCTAAAAGATAATAAACATACTAAATAAGAGAGGAATTCATGGTTATTAATAAAATGCTGTACTTCCTACAGTCAACCAATTTATTTACATATAACAACTCTATAAATTATCTATGAACAAAATTATAGGAATATCACTCCCACAATAAATCACTAACCTGATGGCACTGGATGCCAAAACTTGCATTAGATAACTTACATGTTCACAATAAATACTGTCTACACCTGTTATATCTAGTGATTTGAATATATTATAAACATCATTAAAAATATATGTAATTCACTCTGTAATAAAATATTTAATTAATACCTATTAAACTATGCATTAAATAAAATTCTGGTAACTATATAAATCTACATGCACAAAGTTTATAAAATGAAGACAACCAGTACCAAAGCCTGAAAGTATGAAATAACTTTTGCTGAGAAATTTTAAGTAAAAGAAGGTACCGCATGAAAAAGAAAGAAAAAATTGCTTAACAGCAGATGAATCAAGCTAATGAAAAATCTACCATTACCTAGCTAAAGTGACAAGGGGGCCTTAAATTGAACTAGACACTAGTGGGAAAAATTTCTGTTTATATTACTCTTGCTTACATTTCTAGGAAGAATATATATTTTGGGGGGCCCTGACTAATACAACACTTTATACATAAATATAGGTAGACTACCTCATACAGAACTCTATCCACAATATAACTTTAACAAATCTTTTTTTCTCTAATAAAATATATCTGACAGTCTCTGTCATTGCAGTTATCCTTCCCACAAAATATCCTCACTGTAATTCAATCTATTCCCTAGTTTTTGTACCTGATTGGTCTGGAAGCTTGTTATACAATGTATCTACTTTATAAAATAAATAACAGGTATTTATGAAAATGATGCAATTCCCTCAAAAAAGTAGATTTTGAGATTCTGCCAGTCTTTTTGCAATTAATCTCAATTCAGTTAATGATGATCTCTTACATTTTCTTTTTACCTCTGCCTGAGAAAAGTTTGGCAGTAAAACATAGTTAAAAGTATTATTTTTCATCACAACAAACTTTAAGTAAAATCTCATCTATTGGGTCTCACCAAAGCTGCTACTTTCACTTCCTTCCACCTTGTAGTGATGCATATATGAAAGAAAGGTGTTCCATATGTACGAAAAGAAACCGACGAAAGAGACTCTGTGCTTCAGAGGTATAACCCAGAAGTTCACAGTCTGAATCACAGGCCACACACAGAAACCAATCTGGAAGGTAGGTACAAATATTAGAGACATATTCAAAAAATCATTGCACTCTCTTCTTACCCTATACCATAAAAAGGGCATCACAACAGATGACATCAGTAAATCTGCATGTCAATAATGATATCTAAATCAATATACAATGACCAGTAATATTTAATGAATCCAAAAATATACAAAAGTCAAAATATCACTCTTCATGAAATACCATATATCACAATACTAACTTTCTATTTTACAAGCCAAATATATAAAATGTATGTGAATTTTACAACTAACCTTCCAAGTTGGGGGTATTTTTGTACGACATTCTTGTAAACATTCATTTAAAGTTTTTCCCTCCATAAGATTAATGCATAAGTAGAATTCCGTGTATGCAATAGGAGCCCACGTGAACTGCTCGATATATGCCTGGAAAGCATGCAATATATTCATTCAGAGGCTGATCTTTTTGAAAAATGTTACGAAACAAAAAATCTTATTGTAATCTGTAATACAACTATTTGGAATAGAGTTATCTTGAAAGAGCAATTTATCTTAAGTTTCCTCTCACTACAGGGAAAAGGTAGAGGAAATAAATACCTCATACTGGTCACTTATTTTTAGAGAAACTCCTTTGTTATAAATACAGAAGATCAAAACTACTAATACTTTAAAGAAACTATTGTTCTACACATAAGGATCAGTACATATAACATCAGTAGAATATAATCAATCATTTTTATCTATCTTTTTACATTTCAAAATACACAATGGTAAAACATTTAATCACACTTAGTATTTTGATACCTTGCAATTCTCTACATACCCCAAAAAAATCCCATTAGGAATACTGAAGACTAGGTTTATATATAAACCTTTAAAATGTAACTAATAAATTTATGTTTACAAGCAGTAATAAATTCAAATCACAGCATGATCTGCTGGAAATACATTATTAAGTAACATACAAATCATTAAGTACCTTACATATGGAATATAAAAATACATAGAAAACAATTATCAACTCAAAGTTGATAATTGCTAATTTCTTAGTCACTACCTCCACCACATTTATCTGTTAACACTGTCATTTTCCCTACACATTTCAAATAACGTTAATTATGAAATATAGTTTATAGATTTTTACCTTAATTACAGCATGCTTGAGAGTAGACCCCTTGACTATCACGTTAGCCAAGCGAACCCAGCAATATAAAGATGGAGCTAATATCAAGGCCCCGAAAATTCCAAAGCGTAATGTCTCCCACCCATTTAATTTCTCCTTCTTGCGATCCATAAGCTGCTGGGTCGTGTTGCTTGCAGGAAAGAGCACAGAATACGTGAGAATCCCTCTTGTTACGGGATATTTCTCTATTATATATCGTATCTTGTTCATGATTGAAAGTTGTCTGTGCATGAAATATCATATCAACAGCCTGAAATGAATATAGAAAGCAATTTCAATTACATATCTGTGGTTGGGTTCAAGTTAAAGTTCAGTTTAATTAATTTACTTCAGTTAAACTTGGTTAGGTTAGGTTTGTTTTGTACTTATTACCTAGAAATAACATTTATATGCACATTCATTGTGTGCCGTATGCCCAAATTGAAGACGGCTACCTCATGCATAACCTCAGCCATAAAATATATATATTTGTGTTTCACTGGTAACTAATAAGGGCTATGGTACCTATCTATCTATCATGTTGATGTACTATTCAGCTCTTGCAACATATAATTCTAGAAATATCATCAATAATAATAATAACAAAAGAGATACCCATCAATACTCATATGGGGATATTCCTTTTCTCTGTAAATTACTTTAACTTTTCTATGATGGTAATTTTTTCTAATATGTCTGCAAAACCGAAAGCGACAATTTTAGTATCGTTGGATTACTCTCACTGTCTATAATGCAAATATGTATATTCTCGGACCCAATTGCTGGGTCGGACATAACAAGTACCAAGGAAATGCGGGGTAATATGTAAATAATGTACACAGAATCATTCACTATATTTTCTGATGTAGGGGACTGTGTCCCCTGTGACCACCATGGGGGGCTGCTGCCCACATCCTCTGCCTAGGGAAACACGAATCCTCTAGGTATCTATGGCATGATTGTGCGTTGGACAGACATGGCAACATCCTGCATGGCTCTCTCCTGCCATGAATACATGGAGGTTTCTTTGTTCTCCTGGGCAGGGGCTGGGGAGTGGCAGAGGTCACAGGGCCTGATTCTGTGTTTACATTTTACCCTGCAGTTCCATGGAATCTTCCATGCCATGGGTCAAGAATGTGGGGGGTTGGGGGCTTCTGTGCAATAATTTCTATATAATTGGAAATAAGACCGTGAGAAGATTCCAACGTTACCAACCTATTCAAAACAGGTTGGAATTACAGATTTTTTACTTTTCCTTACTAATTGGCATACATTTCTGCTCTTCAGTAGTGAATAATAACTAGAGTATATATAGAAAACCTCTCATTTCGTTGTTCTATACCATCGAAAAATTACCTATGCCATGGAGTGGATCCGAACAGGTACGAAATTAAATGAAAAAAAATTTCCCTTTAAATTACTCATCGCCGTAGAATCGCTTTCACTCCAGTGTTTGGGTCGGTTATACTTCACTTATATCGAAATTAGTATAAACACGCTGATAGTCTCTCTCTCTATCTCCTATCTCATCTATCTCTCTATCTATCTTGCTATATCCTTTATACCTTATCACTCTCATCTCTTCAATTGCTATATATATATATCTCTCTATATCTTCTTACTATATCTCACTCTTCAATCTCTTATCTCTATAATATCCTATCATCATACTCTCTCTCTTCTATCTCACTATAAGTATCTTACTCCTCTATAATATATATATACCTTCATAATATTACTAGACATATAAGATATATAAAGTTACTCTAACCATATAGTAATATGAATATTATATCTACTCTCTATATAATACTTACATATAATTACATCAATATATATATATATAATATCTATCTTCACTCACTCTATACTCTCTACTATCTCTATCATACATATATTCTCTCTTTACTGATATATATCTACATCATACTCTATCTATCTATATATATCATATATATAATCACTATATATACTATATATCTTTACTAATATATATATATATATAGTATAAGTATTATATACATATATACTACTATATATATATATATATATAATATATATAATATATTCAATGTAATCATATATATCTATACAGATAATCATATATAATAATAACTCTCATAATATATATATTATATCATATAAATATCACTAAATATATCAATATATATATATATATTTATTATAATTATATAATATATATATCATACAATATATATAATATATCTATACAGTATATAATAATTACTATTCTAATATATATTATATATATTATATATACCTATATATATATATATTATACCATATATATATAATACATATATAATAATATATAGCATATATATATATATTATATATCTAATATATATATATATATATATATATATACTATAATATATATAATAAAACTATATATATATAGTATATATCTATATATATATACTATACTAATATCTATATATAATATATATATATATATATATATTATATCTATATTATGGAAGAGCCATTAAGTCTGACAAAAAACTATTCTACAAAATAACAATCTTAAGAACGAGTGTGACTCGTGCAATATTTGAAGAGAACATGCATCAATCTTCATCAAATGCTTCACTGGACTAATTCTCTTCCAGTAAACACAAAATGTAAAATACAATCTTTAAAGTAAATGGAATTCACATAATCTATGAAATAAAAATAAAAACTTAAAGTAAATCATTTTTTAATTTTACTGCTGGCCACCCAAGTTACATTTGAAATCCCAAAAATTACACAACTTATCAACAATCTTCAACTTTAAATAAAGTTGATACTTCAAGTATTTTCAATAATCTCTCAAAAAAAAAAAAACATAAAAGAAATTGAAACCAGCTAAACCTGGGAGGTAATTGGCCACCGACTTGATTGATCCATCGCAGCACACGGAGGTTGACGTGTTAGGTTCAACGACAGGTCTCAGATTTTAATCAGCGCAGCGGCCATGGAGGAGGACTACCAACCTTCTCACTGTTGGAACACCCATCTGGAGGATTGTGACTCTCGGTAAATCAGGTGTTTGGTGCCGCTGAGGGGAATTGGGGTACAATGTGCATTCCAGGAACAAGAACAGAGAAGAGAGATGCATAAAACCTAATCATAATTTGTAATGCCTATAACATCCGTCAGTCTAATAAATAACATGACAATAATTTAACCTCCCATTAAATATCATTACAATCTCATCCAATAAGTTACCTCTAATACATATCAAAATGCACAATAGTAAATGTTATAATAGCAAAAGCTTTCTTTCCAACAAAATCTCACGTCCTCATATGCCATTCGTCAAACTTCACCTTATTATATATAAATTGACTCTTCATTTGAGTTATTATACCTGAACTTATATTGGCTGAGCATGTGTGATTGATATCAAGCCTGGGTATATGGATATCTATCTGCCCTCAATAGTTATTACACTAATTTTCAGTAAATTTGCATCTGCCATTGTTCTACTCATAGTATCGCCGCTGAATACAAATAAAAAAATGTCAAATCAGTAATTAATATAATTAATATCTATACATGCTCATAATTATAGATTCTTAATAAAAATAATTATGAAAGTACAATTTACTTGGAACTTAGTAAATGATTGATGATTTATATTATTATGAGATGAAAATAATCTGAACACTACAACATCACCAATTTACAATATATTAACTACTTAATCTTCTCAGAATTGAACAATGTAGTTATGACTTGGTTGTTAGGCTTACTGCATTGATATGGGTAAAATATTATATATTTACCTCTCACCATTGGCGCATTGACTTATTTGAGGTCAATTGCTATGGAGGTTATGTGTCCATTCATATATATATAGACTTAATGTCACCAATTATAATGCATATGCAAAGTATAACATTTCTAATGGTTACAGTATCATCCACAGCACTCTTGCACACAGCGACACACAACACAACACACACTACGAGATACAAGCACCACACACACACACACACACAACACACACACACACACCATCAGACAGGAATTTGCGACATGACAGTTCATTGTGAGTAATTGTAGAAATATACATAACTTTTCTCTTCATAAATATAAGTTATCGAAACTAAAACAAGTCCCATTAATTTCCAGTTATAAATCCATTCACTTCCTCTACACAAAGTATCATATGCATGACCAAATTTTCTGAGATGGATTCTAGTTTACACAACAGCATACTTGAGTCACTTCACACAATCTCACACCACTCACATCCTCGTATCATCAACACAACAACACAGCCACACGCACAACGCACATGGCTAAATCTGCCAGTGTGCCTGTCTTGAAAGTATTGTCACACACACACACACACACACACGACAACAAAAGAAAAATACTAAAATCCATGAGTAGGCTTATACTGCAAAATAGATCTCTTATTCATAAAGAAAAGAAATCCTGTTCTATATACCTCAATAAGAAATTTAGTAATTGTTTTTACATATAGATTGGCTGCTACAAATACTGTCACCATGAGCCAATTACGGCAAACTAACCTGTCCTACACGTGTTTTCCTTTTTCCTTGAATTTTCGATATTTTCAATAATCTAAATATTGCTGTTAGTTATGTCAGTAACAATATATTATAATGCTCCATACACAACAAAACAAAACTACACACAATATATCACAAATGTACAATATATTGAATATGCAAAATTATGTAAAAAATGCGTTATTTATCCCCAGCTTTTTATTTACTAAAGGAAAATATAGCTAGAATATGGCAAGATGTATCTTACTAAATTAACTCCTTTGTGCTTAATAGACCAATTGGACTAGAGCATCTATGTGTTATGAAAACATTTTAACTAAGCATTATGTCTCACAAAAGGATAAATGCACACCATTTGTTTCCATCGTGACATTGCAGTATTATAATGAAAATACGTTATACTGATTCTACATTAATATTTAGTCTATACTAAACAGGTTATTGGGTACTACACTACACATCTCCATATAAAAAATACTCAATATCAATATTATCTATGAATATATCAAAAATCAAAATCAAGTTTTGATAATACATGTGACACAAAATATAATAAGAAATCTGATAATAGGCTTTATGTCAGTGTCACACAATGATTGAGTGGTGAATAATGTTATAATGGCACGCATAGCTTGAGTCACCGAAATTATAGCCATAGATACTCCAACAGAGAAGAGGCATAGGATACACACCTTACAATTTCTTACCCCAGAGTCAAAGTGAAGTTATGCATAAATCTATATTG